TAAATGCATAAATGAGGCATAAGTAAGACAAGTGAAAACAAATTGACAGACATTAAACAAAGCAATGCACAAAACACAGCTGTGATCTACTTTACGAATGGTTGCCATATAAGTATTCCACAAGAGGTGCGTAATTGTGAAAATCGTTTATGTCACATGAGCAGAGTCATATATAGACAATTGAATGGCTCGTTACAGTGAGTTTAACAAAAAACCCTATACCTGTGTTTTGTAGTGTTTTTGCTGGAGGACTCCACTCAGTAGAATAAAAAGAAACCTGAAACGAAGTAAATACTTATAATGAATTAAAAAAAGTGCTGATAACATTGCACATAAAATTTGACAAAGATTGATCTCACTGCTTACCTGATCATCTACGAAAACTCGCTGGAAAATTTTGTAACTAGTGCCTGCCTTCAGAGGGCCATTTTGGTGTTTTTTACCATCAGAGTGGCGTCTTCTTGTAACAACTGTGTTTGCAACATCACCAAGTGTGAACAATGACGTGTTTTTTGTAATGGGAAAAATTACTGCAGCAATATAAGGCTTTGGTTGTGCGGATGATATGGCCTCAGAGTAACTCACTAAGTCATCATTTTTGAATTCTGAAGGCAACCCACTTCCTTTTTTGTCATGCTCCATTGCTACCACATAAAAAGATCTGTAAATGAAAAAAAGAATGTGCAAATAATATATCGCTTATTTTTAAACGCAAAATTACAATTGGTTGTACGAATATTTGCCAAAACTGCAGATAATATCTTAAAGTTGTGTAATAATTACAAACATTAAATGGGAGCTATGTTTCGTTAAAAAGCGAACGCTTGCCAAGTCACCATTATGTACGTCAAACTAGGAGTATAAATATGAATGCCAAACTATGAGAAGTATGAGGAATTTTTATAAGTGCAATGCACAGACTTATTTTCATTTAAAGTGGAAAAACTGAAATAAAATGTTGGGCTTCTATCGCAGTGAAATATAGTTTTTGACGTAAATGCCAAGAGTGAAGTAACGTTTAAATCTATCGTGTATTAAATTTTGAAGTATGACTTTGACTTTAGCAGTAAAGCTGTATTTTAGTAGTAATTTGATTTGACAGTTTTTCCAGAGGGAAGTCTTTTCACAACAATGTACATTCAATTCTCTGCTTGAAATCGCATTTGCATTAATTTGTTTGGCAACAATTTAGTCTATAACAAGTTAACGTCGACAAACTTTCAAACGATTCTTGTATGCTCTGTATCCAAGTATCTTCGCTGTTGACAAACTAATTTTACGTTTTGTCTGAAAAAAATCATGTAAGAAAAAGAAACAAAACACAACTTTGTAAAACATCACATACTACAACAATTTGACATAATATTGTCTTTATGAGTTACTGAAGCTATAATTGAAACTTGAAAAATAGGATTGAACAAGTTTGCGAACACTCTAAGCTTAACAGAACAAAAATGCTATTACAAATGCAGTCAATAGCCTCAGATATTTACAAACAACAGGGTTTAGCAAATTGCTCAATATGTGGCTATTCACACCTTGATAGGTAAAAGCAAATGTTCATATTTGATGATTTAACTTTATGAAAGATCTAAGGTAGTTAAAAAAACTAGCATCTGGCGAGAAATTACATCTGATCGATTTCCAAAAAGTTTGAAATATATCGCAACTCTTATTGCATATAGCTGTATCTTCAAATCCAGTAACAGACGTAATGTGCCGCAAAGAATGTGTGGCGGGCTTTTCGGAACCTATTTCACAAGGCTGAGATACGTAAGCCAGCAATACAGCACCACTCCTTGAGTTCTTGAGGCAAGCCTTCAAAGAGTCTGAGTTTTTGCACTTAAAGCTTCCATAGAAAAAAATATATACGCACGGGACAGTAAAAGAGTATAAACCAAATGATCTACATTACTACAGATGAGATGGTGATGAATAACAACAGCAATTTCTAATAAGATCTCAATTCATATATTCACAAGAACAGAACACTTTTTTTGAAATTCGAGAAAATTTGTTGTTTCTACGCATGATGCGATTTTCAAAGTGAAGTACGTTAAAGCTCTAAAGCATTTGCAGCATGCGCTATAAATGACTCTTCTATTTATATTGGGGTGCAGAAGTGAATATGGGGTGTCAAAGTTCGATTTTAGGTTGGAAAAACGCTTTTGAAATACTGCAGTTTTACTACTTCATCTCTTATAGAAATGGTAATTTAGAGCTTCTTCATTTAAAAAATTTCGGCTTGGGCCTTAATCAAGACCTCGTTTTTAAAGTTTTAGATCTCGGGGACGCATTCTGAGTCGAAATAGACTTCCCCCTTCCGCCACACGTCACAACAGAAAAATTGTTCACACCACGTCAATGCTCAAAGGATCTTTTAACTGTTCTTTTTTATGGCCGAGAGAAGATTTTTTGAAAGTACTTACTGATATTTTATGGAGGGGATTCGCAACAAATAAGTCAGTGAATACGCTGTCTGATTTCTGGGGTGTTCCGGTGCAACTAAAATTAAAAGGTGAAAAAATAATATATTACCTTTATAAGTTCTTATTTTTATTTTGATAAATAACTCACGTCCGTTTGAGAACGTCCACTTCAATTTGCTGTAAATTCCAGGACCCACTTTCGTAGACGCTAAAACGCGCACACAATATTTTGTCGCTGGTTTTAAATGATTTATTTCCAAATGTTGTTCCTCAGTAGTATAGTTTTTTGAACACGTGACACTCCCACATTGTTTAATACAAACAGTGTAACTGACTATCTTTCCGTTTCTTTTGGGTACATCAGGTGGCTTCCACGTTACTGATAACGATGAACTGCTGATGGCGAAAATGTTAACATTTAAAGGTGGACCTTCGGGAACTGAACAAAAATGAACAACACATTTTTTAAAGATTTATCTAAAACAGTAAAATTTAAAAAGAAATCCCAACCAGTATACTGTCATTACTAACATAAATAAAACACAAAAGAAAAACATGATTGACACATAAGTCGACCAGCAAACGATTTGAGATTTCAAACGTTTTATTCGTCAACAATAATAAAACCATCAATGCAAACAAAACCATATGAATGCACAAAAAAATAATACGAACTCACCATCTTCCGCAGTGGTAAAACTAGCTGTAATTGATCCACCAAAACCTTCAGAGTTGCCAGCGGAAACATTTACGGCATACGTTGTGCAAGGAATAAGATTCTCTAATAGATAAGGTTTAATTAGAGTTGCTTCCCAAGTTTTGTTAAAAATAACGACAGTATCCTTTATCACTATTAATCGAACTTTGGTCAGAGGATTCAAGAGATTTGTGCCAAGTTTCACACCAGTGTTTTTTGGATCTTTCCAGGTAATTTTGAGGTATCTTGATGCAACTTTATTCGCGGTAAGATGTGTTGGTTTGTCTGGTAGAATGTCTGAATGATTAAAGAAAAAAAACCAAACGGTAAACATGGTATCATTGCATTTTGAGATGGATAAAATCATGCGATAAAATAGAATACTTCGTCTGAATTTCTTGATTTGTGGTGGAACATCATTATGTTTAGTAAAAAGTTCGGAAATTGTGGAAAAAAGAAACATGTAGTGCAACACTAAAGTCTGAGATTGCAATGTTAAGATTTGCCTGGGAGATGTATAGAATACCTCAAATAAGAAATTTCCACGTGTTTAGTTAATTTTAAGAGCAAACAAGTTTATATATAGTATATTAATACCTCCTTTACAGAGCAAACCAAACCAGACATATTTTCACTTCTTACCTCCCCCACAAACTTCAATTCGTAAACACGGTTTACCAATAGACTTCGCCGGAACTATTCGTAAGCTTTTGGCTTTAATGCCACGAGAGAATTTCTCTATAGCTACATCATTGTAACCATTCCAATTTTGTTGTATAATCTGAAACAAGAGAAAATAATGACTTAAGTATTTGGGTAGGGAAAGGTCGAGAAAGTTAGAGAAAAGTCGGGTTTGTTTGACGCTCTAAACGGGATAATGGCTTATGGATCTTCTGAATATCTTTTCAAAGCCACAAACTGCAATTTAAACTTGAAGATAAATCGCAAGGAAGGAATCTGTTAGTTCATATAGCCACAAACTGATTGTTAAAGTTACAATCTTGTTTCAGCCGATGAATAATTAGCAAAGTTACCAAAACGAAATTTGGAGATAGCAGAATTCTTATAAGAATAAAAGTAAATTGAAGATGACCACCGCTAAGGATGTCAAAACGTCAGTTAACACTGACACCAACAGTCCTCATCAGTAATGTACAAACCTGAACAATCAGCATTAAGAATTCAGTTAACTTAAGCGTCCATTGTTAACTTTAATATTTTAAATATCGATTTTGAAATTTATCGTTAACTATTTAATAATTAGATGAATTGCTCTCCATTTCCATGATTCTATAGTTGATTCGGACAAATTCATGACTACCGCTAAGGCTGTCGATGATAACTACCGCTAAGGTTGTCATAACGTCAGTCAACACCAAAACCAACCGTCATTCTCAGGACTCTACTAACCTGGACGATCTACATCGAAATACTCCCGAGTTAAAACCACTTACTTCATACTAGTATTCATCAAGGAAAAGGTTGTAATAGTTTTCCTTAATTTCTTAAAGTTTTATTGCGTTTGCTGTAGTTTTCAATGTTCGCATTAAAAAGTAAACGACTCTTCCTGAATGCACGTTTAGTTATTTCAATTAAATTTTTATTTTTTTTTTGACGCTACAAAATCTTAATGTTCTATCGAGTGGAAACTTTAGTCCTCTCTAGAATTGCTTTCTGAAGTAAACAATCATCTTTATTGTCAGAAAACTAAGTAAAACGCAAGATGGCGATGTAGGAGACATGTTTTTCGCAACTTGCTATCTATTGCTTTACTATATTTACTATTTTTGAGTAAAGTAGCCATTATAAATAAAGTTTTGCTATAGAGTATTGGTACAATTCAACAAAATAAAATTAGAGAAGTTTTTTGTTACCTTTTTGGATTTTTCAGAGTTCCAGTTAACACCGTCAATGTTTGTAAGCAAGTGATATTCAGTTATAAAGCTTGAATTTGAACTGTCTCCAAAGACTGCGATAGCGTTAACTGTATAAAGACTTGGGAAATTCAGTTGAAGATAATGATTGCCATCTGCAACAGGAGCACACCACGAACTGCCACTGGATATTCTTGCTTTAGCAGCACTATGGTTCTGGGTGGAGGTTGAGACAGTAAACAAGGAGTCCGGGAACTTTTGTGTGTTTTGTAAGAGCGGATCATCACAAACATGACCTGAGGTGACAAAATATTTATTGAGTAGATGGTTGAGCGCGGGAATATCGTTACATGTTTATAATGTAGATCATCCAATTTAGTAGAGTCCTGAGAAGGACAGTTGTTATTGATGTTGACTAACGTTTCGATAACCTTAGCGGTAGTCAGAGTCAACAAAAAATTTAAAATTGTGATAACGATAAAATTGTGTGATATGATGGAAAGCAATGACACAAACCCATACGGTTCTCCATAAAGGAAAAATTGCAAATAACAAAAAAGTTTGTTGCAAAGATAGGACAAGAGTCGGTGAAATATACCAGACGAAACAACAAAACGCACTCTTTTAAACAAAGCGTTCGACGTTTCAAATACAATTCCTAACATTATAAATATCACTTGATTTCGAGCTTCTCATTTAGCGGAAGTTGAAACTTGATTAGTAGTCTAGTTTATCGTAACTGTGTAAAAGCACCATTGATAATGCATATTTAATAAAAACGACAAGTTTTTTTTAAATAAACATGTTTCAACATCTCGTGATGTCATCTTCAGTATTATAAGAAATATTATGTATGTGATGAATATATATACCTTACTTGTATTAAAATTCGAGTCGTACTCATTTTCGCTCAGCTTTAAATTCGGGCGATTTAATTTCGCGCACTTTGTTGACAATTATTCGCGCAGCTTTAAATTCGCGCAAGTAGTTTTATGTGCTCGTTCTTTTTGATTTGTTCAAAAGAGCTATTAATAATTAACGCATTTATATTGAGCTTTCTTTATTAAGAAATACCTCAATATTCATCAAAAAAGCGATTGGGTGGCCTCAAAAATGGCTTCAAAATAAAGCGTGAGTTCACTATCCCAACAAGAACTAAAAAATGTAATAAATGATATTGCCTAACAATATACTTTATAAGTCAAACAAAAGTTTAGCTACAGTTCAAATGGATCCTCTTTTCGTTGTGGTTCCTCCAATGCGGCGCTCACACCTGTTCGTTGCCAACCTTTGACAACAATGTCCTTGTTCGATTGCATGTAATCATAGAACTGCACTATCCTTTTTTTGTGAAGTGGTTTGAGCAGGCTAATTCTCAAATCAACAGAAACTTTATCAGGTTGAATACCTTTCTCTATTTGGGCTTGGACTTGCTCTGAATACCATGTTTGCGCCTGGTTTCGAAGGAAAGCTTTGCAAGAGCGATTGACCGTTAAATCTAAGGGCTGCAGGTATGATGTCATATTATTGGGAACAGGTATCATCTTCCCATTATTGTCGGAAATGATCTTCTTTACGGCATCCGTCCTATGTGTTTAAAAACATCGGCAATCAAAACCCATTGTTTTGTTGCGCGAAAACCAAGCTCTTCTCTAATTTGCTTAACATAGGGGATAAGAATGCGATTGACTAATTCAATTGCTTTCGTTTCATTTGCCCAATGATTTTCCATGTGGGTAACGTGGAATTCTTTTGGAAATCTGAATCAAATGTTTTCCCCTGGTAGATTAGTTGAATTGGCAGAAACTTTCCCGACGCGGTGACTGAGAATGTTCCAGTAATTTGGCGATAATCGGCGCTATCACTGATCGGCACAAATTTCTCGTTAGTTTTGTCCATTGTATACTTGCTGATGAGGACAAACGGGAGATGGGTCTGGTCAATGTTTATAATGAGATCGTCGGGAACGTCATAAGCGGTAACCACTTTCTTAATAGAACGATGAAATGTGAAGCGAATTTCTTTTAAGAAGCCAGGTGATACGGGTTGTTTTTCAGTTGTTGCTCTACGTTTACTGAAACCCAATCTTATGAAAATTGACTGGCATCATGTATAGTGGAATTCTAGGGTTCCTCCGTTTTCTTTCAACAAAGACCGATCATTAGCCAGTACTATCCCCTTCGCTATGGAAATAGCAATGTTGTAATTGACAACACAACCGGCCGTTCTCATGCTCTTGATCATGGCGATAACTTTCTCATCGATGTTCTCGGGTAATAAAGTTTTTGCTCCACGATGTTTTCTTGGCAATTGTTCGAGTTCAGTGCGCTCTTTTCGTTCCTTATTTTACGATTTGACAAGTCCACGAACAGTTGACTCTGGTACGGAATACGTTCTTGCCGCCGGTCTTATTCCATGCACAATTCCCCATTTTGCAATTTCTGCTCGTTGAAAAGCATCATATGCTCCATATTTGCCCTCCTTTCTTTCGTCCTGGAGCGTCAAGAAATAATTGCTGTTTTACTGCATTTTCTTCGGCAGCATTTAATTTGCTGTCAGACGACGCGACCGAAATATCGTCTTGGGAAACCTTTTTGAAATATTTTAACAGAGCCATGTGCGTTGATTTCCCGCACAATGTTTTCTGTTGGCAATACTTGAACGGTAGAATATGTGTTGCGGAAACGTTTGACGTATTCGGCAATTAGTTAATAAGGAAGTAAAATCAGTCAGTAAAATAATAATAGAACATCATATCTAACACCTAAAGAAACGTGACTCATCATTGACTATTGTGTTGGAGAAATGGAAAGCATTTGCATCGTGTGCAATGATTTGACAAATACACTTGTCTAAAATGCAAATCATTTGTTTGTAACCGAGGAATCAAGTTTTCAATCCCTGCATCTGAAAACTATCCTGGATGGAAAAGTGGTTCGGGTGTTGCTTTATGTGAAGCGTGCGACGCGAAAGAAAATTACGCATCTGATTGCTTGCTTCAGGAAACCCACGATTCAGGAACGGATGATTCTAATTCAGTGAAACTGAGCCCCGAGGGGACATCGTTTTCTCTGGCTTGCGCATCACGAGGTTTTCATGAACACAGAAAAATCTGGGCTCCAAGAATCAACCAGCAGTTAATAATAAAACCAGAATCAGGAAACCTATTCGACCCATATGCTATTTGTCTGTTTACCAAAATCAGAGGCAAGATTGAACCATTGTCACTGGTCGGACATTTGCCTCGAGAGATTTCTCGATTTTGCAAGTTCTTTTTTGAATATGGGGGCAATATAGAAGCATGTGTGTGTGACATCAAATTTCGTCGATCCACATTACCACAAGGAGGCTTGGAGATTCCTATTACCCTAACAGTCATGCAGAACAATGCAAGTTTTAGGATATACAGCAAAATGCAGGCATTCGTGACGGAATACTACGTAGAACCTGAGAATATCCCGACTGAAATTGTACAGGATGAAAATGAAGACATTTTTGATTTTTAATGTTACCAGGACAACTAAAAACATATGTCAATAGGTATATGCGTTAATAAAACAACTGATTTGTATAACCAACAATGAATGTCTCATATTACACTACAAAGCTTTTCACGCGGATTATATTTCGCGCAGTACTAAAATTCGCGCACTCAGCGCTGCGCGAATTCTAGTACTGCGCAAATTTTAATACAAGTAAGGTATCCTAAAACTTGCATTGTTCTGCATGACTGTTAGGGTAATAGGAATCTCCAAGCCTCCTTGTGGTAATGTGGATCGACGAAATTTGATGTCACACACACATGCTTCTATATTGCCCCCATATTCAAAAAAGAACTTGCAAAATCAGGAAATCTCTCGAGGCAAATGTCCGACCAGTGACAATGGTTCAATCTTGCCTCTGATTTTGGTAAACAGACCAATAGCATATGGGTCGAATAGGTTTCCTGATTCTGGTTTTATTATTAACTGCTGGTTGATTCTTGGAGCCCAGATTTTTCTGTATTCATGAAAACCTCGTGATGCGCAAGCCAGAGAAAACGATGTCCCCTCGGGGCTCAGTTTCACTGAATTAGAATCATCCGTTCCTGAATCGTGGGTTTCCTGAAGCAAGCAATCAGATGCGTAATTTTCTTTCGCGTCGCACGCTTCACATAAAGCAACACCCGAACCACTTTTCCATCCAGGATAGTTTTCAGATGCAGGGATTGAAAACTTGATTCCTCGGTTACAAACAAATGATTTGCATTTTAGACAAGTGTATTTTGTCAAATCATTGCACACGATGCAAATGCTTTCCATTTCTTCAACACAATAGTCAATGATGAGTCACGTTTCTTTAGGTGTTAGATATGATGTTCTATTATTATTTTACTGACTGATTTTACTTCCTTATTAACTAATTGCCGAATACGTCAAACGTTTCCGCAACACATATTCTACCGTTCAAGTATTGCCAACAGAAAACATTGTGCGGGAAATCAACGCACACGGCTCTGTTAAAATATTTCAAAAAGGTTTCCCAAGACGATATTTCGGTCGCGTCGTCTGACAGCAAATTAAATGCTGCCGAAGAAAATGCAGTAAAACAGCAATTATTTCTTGACGCTCCAGAAAAGGAGGGGCAAATATGGAGCATATGATGCTTTTCAACGAGCAGAAATTGCAAAATGGGGAATTGTGCATGGAATAAGACCGGCGGCATGAAAGTATTCCGTACCAGAGTCAACTGTTCGTGGACTTATCAAATCGTAAAATAAGGAACGAAAAGAGCACATGGAACTCGAACAATTGCCAAGAAAACATCGTGGAGCAAAAACTTTATTACCCGAGAACATCGATGAGAAAGTTATCGCCATGATCAAGAGCATGAGAACGGCCGGTTGTGTTGTCAATTACAACATTGCTATTTCCATAGCGAAGGGGATAGTACTGGCTAATGATCGGTCTTTGTTGAAAGAAAACGGAGGAACCCTAGAATTCCACTATACATGATGCCAGTCAATTTTCATAAGATTGGGTTTCAGTAAACGTAGAGCAACAACTGAAAAACAACCCGTATCACCTGGCTTCTTAAAAGAAATTCGCTTCACATTTATCGTTCAAGAAAGTTTTGCCGACGATCTCATATAAACATTGACCAGACCTCATTCTCATCGCAAGTATACAATGGACAAAACAACGAAAATTCAGTTCCAATTCGTTCACGGTCGCCTGAAACGGAAGAATTAGTCAATCGCATCTTAAAAGCAAATTAGAGAAGAGCTTGGTTTTCGCACAACAAAATAATGGGTTTTGATCGCCGATGTTTTTAAAGCACATAGGACGGATGCCGTAAAGAAGATCATTTCCGACAATAATGGGAAGATGATACCTGTTCCCAATAATATGACATCATACTTGCAGCCCTTAGATTTAACGGTCAATCGCTCTTGCAAAGCTTTCCTTCGAAACCAGGCGCAAACATGGTATTCAGAGCAAGTCCAAGCCCAAATATAGAAAGGTATTCAACCTGATAAAGTTTCTGTTGATTTGAGAATTAGCCTGCTCAAACCACTTCACGCAAAATGGATAGTGCAGTTCTATGATTACATGCAATCGAACAAGGACATTGTCGTCAAAGGTTGGCAACGATCAGGTGTGAGCGCCGCATTGGAGGAACCACAACGAAAAGAGGATCCATTTGAGCTGTAGCTAAACTTTTTTTTGACTTATAAAGTATATTGTTAGGCAATATCATTTAGTACATTTTTTAGTTCTTGTTGGGATAGTGAACTCACGCTTTATTTTGAAGCCATTTTTGAGGCCACCCAATCGCTTTTTTGATAAATATTGAGGTATTTCTTAATAAAGAAAGCTCAATATAAATGCGTTAATTATTAATAGCTCTTTTGAACAAATCAAAAAGAACGAGCACATAAAACTACTTGCACGAATTTAAAGCTGCGCGAATAATTGTCAACAAAGTGCGCGAAATTAAATCGCCCGAATTTAAAGCTGAGCTAAAATGAGTACGACTCGAATTTTAATACAAGTAAGGTATACAAGGTCAACGTATCATAAACCAACCTACACGGGACTATTGACGAACTACTTCAGTTTCACACCACTTTCATACAAGGCTGGATTAATACGCACACTTGTGGACAGACCATACAAAATTAACAACACCAACAACGGCTTTCTACAACACCTAAAGAACATCACATCTATTTTATTACGCAACTCTTTCCCACTACACTTCGTCAAAAAAACTGTCAAACGATATCTCCATGACAAAACTAATACTAAATTCAAAACAAACACTAGAACATCCGATAAAACAACCACGACCAACAACAACGAACAGTCCATAAGAACTCATTACTTTAAACTACCGTACATCAGACATCATTCTCGACACACACAACGCAGACTTAAAAAAATCATCAAATGCTTCTGCACTTTTCATATTACTCCATCATATTACTCTAATATTTTTTTATCACATACATATTATTCCTGATAATACTGAAGATGGCATCACGAGATGTTGAAACATGTTTATTTTAAAAAAACTTGTCGTTTTTATTAAATGAGTATATTTTTATCCTAAAAAAGTATTGAAATATCAAGCTTTATTTTTTTCCCGAAACTTACATTTCAAAATTGAATACTCGGAACAGCCACTACTTGGTGTAACCGTACATAGAAATGAAGGTGCCACAGTAGCTCTGCAGTTTACTTCTCCAGCTTTAGACATTGAACTACCGGAAGTCTGACCCCTTATTTGATCGGCTTTAGGGTAGCCAAGAAAACGACAAACGTTATCTTTGACATTTTCCAAGGAACTTTTACAGACAGCGAATTCCCCATCATCTTTGGTAAAAAGTTTCACAAAACCTTCGCTGGGTAATGTCGACTGTGATAACTGAATATCTTCAACTATAAAAAATCGTAAAAGATAATTAGTTGATGAACATAACAAGTTAATGAACATGAATATTCTCCTTAGTGATCTTAGTCCGGCAGACATTGAAGTATAACTACATATTTAGTTCATCAAATCAATCAAAAGCACGTTTACATCTCCACATTACTTACTGCAAATTTCATTGAATGACGTCATGGTAGAGTTACATTGATATTCAAAGTAAAGATATTTGTCCAAACCAGGACAACTTTTTGAAGAGAAAAGGTTATCATCGACAGTTACATTACATTCTCGTTTGCCATCACAAAGTCTTTTTAGACGACATGTAACATCAACACTACAGTTGTAATAGTAACTTGAACCACAAACATTTCCTTGGTTCAATCCACGATATTCTGCAGTCTTTACTACCATATATTGTCCTTTACGACAGCTGGCGTACATTATTTTTTGTCGAGCGCAAGTCACGGAACCTATTGAAAACACATAAATTGTACAAAATGTTAATTAACTTAATAGTGGCATAAATGTTGTGATAATAAAACCCATCACTCCATATAAGTGATGGGTTTTATTATCACAACATTTCGGGCTCCTGTTTTTCATATCGGGCTTTTTAGATAGTTCAGATGATTTTGAACATTTTTGGAACATAATTTATTTGTCAAAAATTTCATGTACCAGGATTTTTTCTCGCTCAAAGTTCATTATTTTTTGCTTGGCTGTGACTAAAAAAACTAAGAAAGAAAGTCCCGATCTGCCATCAAATCGGGAACACGCGTTTAGAAAACACTATAACAACTTTCTTGTGTCATTTCACATCGTATTTTGTTTTCATTTGCTTATACATTATAAAACAATATATTACAAAAAAAATCTGCTTATATAGGCCGTTTTCTACACGATCCTATATAAAATATAGTGCAACCTTCACAATGGAGTTCCCGATTTGATGTCAGTTTTCTCATACTGTGGTCAAACGTTAAAAATACTGAAAATCACCAACTAAGAGTGCCGAAAAACCCGCAAAGCTGAATTTTTTTAACTATAAAATATATTGCAAAAGTGTTTAAAATCGTCCAAACTGTTAAAGTAACCTAAATCCATAAACAGTACACAAACACTTCAAATTTTAAAATAGAAACAGTGAAATATTTTTGACATATTTCCTACCAAAATGAACTTTCTTGTTTTTTTCATCTTGACAAGACGCCATTCTTAAGGTATGGATCAATTCTTTGTTGGATTCTCGGTGAATTATGTTTAGCAGGTTTTAAACAGCGCAATTTATTTCCAGCCCTTTCGTACCGTAATGCTAAAGCACCCGTAGTAAACTGGTTTTCGCCAGTCAATCGAAACTGCATTAGAAACACTATAGAAGATCGTAATCTTCTATTGTATTAATTAAATCACAAGAAAAACAAGTCTATAGAACATTGTCACCTGACATCATGGCCGACATGTTGGTGTACCAATAAAAATTTTTTTTAATGAAGTTTCTTTTTTTTGAATACCAATATGACCGTTTCTTGTGTGCTGAGCTGATTTCTCATGTTTTCCGTAGCTGATTTACCATGTTTTTTAATAACTTGTGAATATTTAAAATATTTTCATGTGTTTTAAATTTTGGTGGACCGAAATATGAATTAAGAACCAAATAACCCTTACCGAAATGAAATTGCTTTTTTGGTGTAAATTTACAACTAGCCATTTTCAAATAAGGATCAACTCCTTGAATGTCTTTTAGTTCTTTAGAAGTACGAGGTCTTAAATATCGAAATTGATATCCAGCACGGTCGTACCGCGTTGCTAGACCTCCCCAAGAGGTTTGGGTTACAGCATTGTTGTTGACACAAGCAACGTCATTAATGTTGTGTGTATCAGTGTGGATATATAGCATATCAAGATAGTAACTATTTCCTGCCTTATAAACTCCCTGAAGACAACCTGGTACGTTCAACTTCAATAAGGCATCATTATTTAGAAATTTGAACTGAGATGCTGGATGAAGACAGTTGTCGGAAAGCTCCAAGAAGTGAAGTGTCCTTTCTCCCCCAGTTGGTGGTGGATATCTTGACTGTACTATCTTTGTATCATAAATACACTTTCCTGTTTCAACATGTTTCAAGAAAAATCCAGCAGTACCTGAGAAAAAAGAAGTCCCCACATAGAACATGACTGGACAAAACTTTTTCAAAAATTCTACTATTTCAAGAAGTTATAGTTTACAAATATCAATAACGGCCGCTTACGGACGAGAAAACTTTTTTTGACAAATTTATATGTGGCAAACGTCTTTTTCCCGTCTGTATGGGACTTTGTAGCAAAGTTTTCTTTGACAAATGCATTTGTTCAAACGCTAGCGTGTCAGCTTTTGAATAAATGCATTTGTCGTAAAAAATTTGCCACATAACTGATTTTCTTCCTCTGTAAGGTCTACAAAGATAATATGACAAATCAACCAAATCTGATATGTTGATACGTACAGACGATCAAAGAAAATTCGCCACCTAAAAATTTGACGTAAAAAGTTCGTTGCCCGTAGACACGGGATAGCAACTATTTGTCATAGAAAGTTTGTTTGTCTGTAAGGTGCTTTAATAAGCCATAGATGAACAAGAGATAAACAAATAAATTTTGCCAACAACAAAGCACATGTAAAACTATAAATTCAAAAATCTAAAATAAGTATGTGGTGGTTGAGCACGTAAGTTGAAAGGTTGAACCAGGGCGTGGCCTTCTGACCTTTTAGAAAAATTTAATTCAACAGTGACTCATTTCAAGGAAAATAATGAAAAGCTCTTCGTAGCAATGAACATTGGAGTAGGGGGCTAAGCCACTCCATCCTAATTATTGGAGGGGGTGGGGTTGAAGCCTCTTTACCACACTTTCTACAGCCCATTATACTCACTACAAGTCAGGGAATCTGTACAGATACATTTGAATCATATTTATACACAACCGTCTTACGATTATTAAAACTGTGTTAGGATTAATATATTATATATATTTATACACAACGGTTGACTTCTTTCAAGATAAGATGTTTACTTGTCGAGTCCTTCATTCTGCAATTCTTTGATGTAATGGGTACTTATATGGCCTATGTCATATAAACCATAATACTTGTCTATGCAATATGCGTCTGTGAAGACAATATTGATTATTTGACCTGACAAGAACTCTGTTCTGAAATTATCTTTTATAAAATTTATAACATTTTTGCTAGAAGGAACTTCACCAAAATACAAGCAAAATATGCAAAAGATACACTACTGAGGCGACTAAGCTGTAGTTATACAACTCATTTTGCAATAGCATTTCGAATGAGATATTTGTGAATTGAATCACAAAGTGAATTAAATTTTGTATAGGGGCACCAGGGGGGTAAAGCCCCTGCACTTTTCTCAGAAGGGAGGCAGGCCCCCCCTTTGTATTGAAATAGCAAAATTACCATGAAAGAGAATGTTTATTAATAGTCTATTTTGACTATAAAACATACATATCTACAGAGCAGTGAGTGGACACTAAAGAATCATGTAGGAGTCTTTTGCAATTTTTTTTCATTAGTTTATTATGTTAGTGATTAGACGACAGGCATTGCTAAAATTAAAAATGGCGACTACTTGACAACATGTTGCAGACATTGGTACTCATAATTTCTGAAATGTCAACCCCCCACCCATTTTATGTTCCTTCCGATGCCCTGATTTTGTATGAAGCAGTATAATTTATGCAGCAGTTCAAAAGGATGTGACATAATCTGGAGCAAATTTTTCTTCTATAATGCATACACCCACACAAGAAGTATGGTATCATAGACTAGTATAGCACATCTTGTAAACAAGTTCTAACTTTGCCAAAAAAACCATAGTGAAACTTGTATACATGAAGCTATTGATACTTAATTTAAATTTCTAAAGGATTTGTGAAATTATACATATACAGATTTGTTTAAAAATAAAAGTTTCTCCAGATTTTTATAAATAATTTTATTGAGCTTTCGACTAGGTGCTTCAGTGCTGACCTGATGAAGGCTAGAAGCACCAAGTCCAAAGATCAATAAAATTATTTATAAAATCCGGAGAAACTTTTATTTTTAAACAATGTAATGCCTGGATTACCAATCTTTAAACTTATATACAGATTTATAATAATTTTTCGAATTTTCTAATACAAAACTTCACAGTAAAATTGTAATTGTCGTATAATTGAGAAGAATACATTAACTACGACAAATTGCAGCCCACAAAACCCAGTTATAAAATATACAATACCTACACAGACTGCGCGTGTCTGATTTGTTTTACGAAAAAGGCAGGAGGTATGACTTCCTTACAAAACATGCACACATTGTGTAAACACAATTGTAATGAAAGTGTAAACAAAAAACCCAAACAAAGCGATAAAAGATTAAATCAACACATAGCGATGTTATCATTCTTTATCATCATCGTATTAAATTTCGATAATTATAGATTAAAACATGGTCAGCGAGAAATGTCTTTCGAAAATTTATCGACTTATAAGAAAAACAACCATCTCATTTTCAATGAAATTTAAAAACCCGAAGGGCATACCTTGATTTCAAAAGCAAACAATGGCAAGCTCTTACCTTGTAAGAGAAAAGCGAAGTTATATACCAGCATCGAGAACCAGAATCCTTTGAATTTCATGGCCTTGTAGTGTTTCAGCTTTCAGGACATGTATCAACCAAAATAGGCCGTCAGACGATGTTCTGCATTTACAAGAACGCTGACTCATACGCGGAAGTAAAGAATGTCGAAGTCATCATGAAAAAAATGAAAATACAAGCTTCCTGGCCATGCATACATCTTGTAAAAGCGGATGTTTTTAAGTGAAGTCAAACGGTCAATGATCAGTGTGACGTCTACAAAAGAATAAATTACCATATTAGCAGCTATTGGAGACGATAAACATGGCAGCACTGTTGGTATCGCGAACACAAACCTCTAAATATTATTTGTAAAGATGAATATTAGTAAATATCATTGCTCTTTACAAAGTAGATTTAAAATCGTATTCTACTTTTACCATAATTCATAGCGAGTATCCACTCAGTTTAGAAGTGTTCTACAAGTGCTATGTTCTAGCAGTGTCAAGCATAGTGTAGGGAAAATCACGTGGGTGTAGTCATTTTGTGACGATTGTGTTCATTTTGAAACTTGCAGTTGCAAGTTCAAATTAGTAAACATCAGTCTGTGTGAATTAAATACCCTTTTGATCAACGTATTTGATATTAACACAAGGGTGTCGAAAGTGGGGGCAAGTTTAAGAAGCCTGAGTTCTTCAGGCTGCCACCATTTATGTTTACTGCTTAAGTCTGCTTGACAAATTGTTTAAAAAACCTGTACTTAAAAGATATTTTAAAGCTGTGAAAGCCTGTTTGAGAGGCTCTTGATCATGTCAACAAAGTTTTTAAACATATCGAAGGCGCAGCTAAATAAATACAATTGTCTCAAAATGTGTGTAAAAGTGTTGGATAAGTGTTGGATAATTGTTGTGAAATAGCGATACATGTTTTGAACGGCAACTGAACATTGATGAGTTCAACCAGTTTTACAAGAACCTGAATACATTGAGAAGACTTTCAAAAAACAAAAACAAAGGAAAGATGATGGGTGTGCGAAATTATACAGACATTCATTATTATTATGAGGTACTCATCTAGATGATTAATTAATGAGATCGCAATTTACAAACCACCTCGATCAAAGAGAAAATGACAAAGACGCAAAGGAAGAACAAACAGATAAACATAAATGTAGACACATTGGTGGAGAAAAAGGTTGATAAAATAAAAGACACGAAAGTAGAAACAAAAGTAGACACAAAGGTAAATAAAGAGTTCAACAAAAAACTAATAAAGGTATACTTAAAAGCAGGCACAAAAGCAGACAATATGGTAGAAAAACAGATAAACAAAATGATGGACACAAAGGCAGACAAAAAGAGACACACAAATGCAGACAAAAAAGTTGGCAAATCGTAGAAAAAAAGAAAGACACAAAGGAGGACACAAAAGTAGACAAAAAGGTTGAAATCACAAAAACATTAATAAAGTTGTATTTTATTGTCTCGATTTTTTAAGCACTTTTTAAAGAATTTCTCAGCAATTCAACACATTGTGACATTCAGACTCTTTTTGAATTATAATGGATTCAGAAAAATGAATAATGCGTGTTCCAGAGCATCCCACATTCATAACTACAAAACAGGAAGTAAAGCTTTTAAAATTTTTCTACGTTAGTTGGAATGATTTGGTATCCACCGTACCCACAGTGAGTAATGGACCCAATGACATGCTGTACTTCATGTAAGTTCGCATGTTTTAAGATAAATTCAAAGGGTACCTGAAAAAAAGAAATGAAAAAGTTTACCGTGACTTTAAGTGAACCTGCAAAACTACACAATTTCATACCATTCACGGGAGCTTGCAAACATCAACTGGTAAACTATAAAATAAATGTATAAATAAATGTCACCAACAAAAAGCATATATATGTTTACATGAACGCTAATTACAGGCGCTTAGTTGTATTTTAACAATATATGCGAACTGTGTAAAAATTCGTACTAACCAAAATGAAATTGCTGATTATCTTCATGTTTGCAATCGTCTATTCCCACGTAGGAATGAGGTTTTATAAGTCCAGGAGGTACTACACATTTATTAAATCGTGAAATTAATAGTTCACCATTAACAGTTTGGCGTGGCAAGGTCCTTTTTGTTCTGGTATGTCCCCGATTAGTCTCTTACTGTGTCTTCTCCCACAAGACAGCCTGGTCTATTAGGTTTTATTATGGAGCTAGGCTGTACAAATTTAAACTGTGCTCTGAGTCAAAACAGTTCTCATGCAGTAAGATTCAAAAAACTTTAGAATGCTGAAATCTTTCAATACAGTTATGTCTGTTTTCTTCAGAACCTTCTTCGTCATAATTTTTTAGGCCAGAGGGTTGTTGTGTTGGATTCTGTAAAGACGACTGGAGCCCCTAAATTGCTAAAGGTCTCATTTCCTTCGATTAGAAATCAAGGCTATAACAGAATTGATATTTGGGGAACTCATATTAATTTATGTAGGTATGCATGTTATAAATTGTACTAAACTATAAATTACATTGTTCTCACGTTCAGTGAACAATAATATATTCACAAAGCGAAAGTAAAAAAGTCAAGCAGGCTACGCTGCTTAATGTGGCATATAATAGACTCTAGCTAATTTTAATATACGCAAATAACATATTGTTTTGTAGAAGTATTGAAAAATCCGGTAAGCATATGAAAAGTGTATACGTAGCTGTGTTTTTAGATGTAGATCGTCTAGGCAAGGAAAGTCATGAGAAGGACTGTTGGTGTTGATGTTGACTGACGTTTTGACAACCTTAGCGGTAGTCGCCTTCATCGCTAAGGTTTTAAACGTCAGTCAAAACCAACACCAACAGTCCTTCTCATGACTTTATTAATCTGGACGATCTATATCAACAGACATCTAATGAATAACGATACTCCCGGGTCCAACCATTCTTTTTAATGCTTTGTGTATGAGCAAGCCTTAGTTAGAAAGTTTTTTTCTTGTTCTTTTAAAAGCATCTTTTAATACATCTTCATTACATATGTAATTAATAAATTCCTCAGATTCTGTTGAGCTTCACACCATAGAATGAATATCGTAAACGAATTAGCAAAAATCATTGTTTTTGATACACTATAAACTAAAAAATTCTCTCATGTTAATCCATTCTTTGTCATTTCACTTTCCTTCCTCATCTCATTTATTGTTGATAGTGTATCTATCTAATGCATTTCACCATTTATTGTCATCAATTTTTTTCACACTTGCATAAGACAAATCGTTATCATCCTCCATTAAAGATTGATAATCATCTTCTGTATTCATTTCTTAATACCTTGCATTAGCAGTTACTGTTAATGACTCATTATCATTTCTTAATTCATGTTTGACAAAGCTGATTGTTCATGAACTCTATCGCTTCTATAAATAGTGAAGAGATTCAAAAAAAGAGAGCAATTTGTGCAGTTAGCATAGCGAAAAGAAGGCTTTTTAGAACAGTGGAAACATGAGACCTTCGCTAATTTTAAAGCTGGTGATACATGTCTTTGACACTTAACATAAGTTACATGCCATATAAAAGTTCACTTTTATTATTTTTCATTCATTACATGAGAAATGGTACATATGTGAACTTTCTTCAGTCTTGATACGTTTTATCTTTGATATTGACGTAAGGCATATCCATTAAAGACTGATAATTTTCTTCCCTGTCCATTTTTGGTACGTCTAATTTTTGATAATTTAAGTCATCACGGTCTGTCAAAGCCTCATTATCGTTTCTTTTAGATATGTCAGATAACTTCATTTCTTCATAGGCTCCATTGCTTACGTCTGTGCTCTCTATTCCAGGGGACTGAAGTTGTTCATTTTGTTTATTTTTGTTGTTCAATACAAAACGTCGACGATAAAGTAGAATAATTGAACACAAAACAATGATGAGAATGATTCCTGAAATGACGGCAACCAAAATGATGTACCATTTTGTCGTGGCTGGGATGTCTAAAACAGTGGAAAAACATAGAGGCGCCGTTATTAAAGTAAAAAATTTAGGACAAAAAGACTTATCACCAGTGGAACGTAATAAAAAGTCAATTTCAAAGTTTAAGGTTTTATAAAACAAATAAGAAATAAATAACATAAGACAAGTGATTACAAATGACATAAGAATAACAAAACAGAGCATGATGTCAAGAATTATTCAGACCAAAACCAATGTTATCTTCCCAAGACATAATTGATATAATACTAAAAACAAGAGAATTGAAGGCATGAATGACATAAAATTAAGTACAAGACAAGTAAATACATGAATGACACATAAGTAAGACAAGTGAAAACAAATTGACAGACATTAAACAAAGCAATGCACAAAACACAGCTGTGATCTACTTTACAAATGGTTGCCATATAAGTATTCCACAAGAATTGCGTAATTGTTAAAATCGTTTATGTCACATGAGCAGAGGTATATAGACAATTGAATGGCCCGTTACAGTGAGTTTAACAAAAAGCCCTATACCTGCGTTTTCTAGTGTTTTTGCAGGAGGGCTCCAGTCAGTAGAATAAAAAGAAACCTGAAACGAAGTAAATACTTATAATGAATTAAAAAAAATGCTGATAACATTGCACGTAAAATTTGACAAAGATTGATCTCACTGTTTACCTGATCATCTACGAAAACTCGCTGGAAAATTTTGTAACTAGTGCCTGGCTTCAGAGGGCCATTTTGGTGTTTTCTACCATCAGAGCGGCGTCTTCTTATAACAACTGTGTTTGCAACATCACCGAGTGTGAACAATGACGTGTTTTTTCTAATGGGAAAAATTACTGCAGCAATATAAGGCTTTGGTTGTGCGGATGATATGGCCTCAGAGTAACTCACTAAGTCATCATTTTTGAATTCTGAAGGCAACCGACTTTCTTTTTTGTCATGCTCCATTGCTACCACATAAAAATATCTGTAAATGAAAAAAAGAATGTGCAAATAATATATTGCTTATCTTAAAACGCAAAATTACAATTGGTTGTACGAATCTTTGCCAAAACTGCAGATGATACCTTTAAGTTTTGTAATAATTACAAACATTAAATGAGAGCTATGTTTCGTTAAAAAGCGAACGCTTGGCAAGTCACCATTATGTACGTCAAACTAGGAGTATAAATATGAATGCCAAACTATGAGAAGTATGAGGAATTTTTATAAGTGCAATGCACAGACTTATTTTCATTTAAAGTGAAAAAACTGAAATAAAATGTTGGGCTTCTTTCGCAGAGAAGTTTAATTTTTGACGTAAATGCCAAGAGTGAAGTAACGTTCAAATATATCGTGTATTAAATTTTGAAGTATGACTTTGACTTTAGCAGTAAAGCTGTATTTTAGTAGTAATTTGATTTGACAGTTTTTCCAGAGGGAATTCTTTTCACAACAATGTACATCCAATTCTTTGCTTGAAATCGCATTTGCATTAATTTGTTTGGCAACAATTTAGTCTATAACAAGTTAACGACGACAAACTTTCAAATGATTCTTGTATGCTCGGTATCCAAGTATCTTCGCTGTTGACAAACTAATTTTAAGTTTTGTCTGATAAAAATCATGTTAGAAAAAGAAACAAAACACAACTTTGTAATACATCACATACTACAACAATTTGACATAATATTGTCTTTATGAGTTACTGAACCTATAATTGAAACTTGAAAAATAGGATTGAACAAGTTTGCGAACACTCTGAGCTTAACAAAATAAAAATGCTATTACAAATGCAGTCAATAGCCTCAGATATTAAAAAACAACAGGGTTTAGCAAATTGCTCAATGTGTGGCTATTCACACCGTGATAGGTAAAAGCAGATGTTCATATTTGATGATTTGACTTTATGAAAGATCTGAGGTAGTTAAAAAAACTACCACCTGGTGAGAAATTACATCTGATTGGTTTCCTAAATGTTTGACGTATATCGCAACTCTTATTGCATATAGCTGTATCTTCAAATCCAGTAACAGACGTAATATGCCGGCAAAGAATGTGTGGCAGGCTTTTGGAACCTATTTCACAAGGCTGGGTTACGTAAGCCAGCAATACAGCACCACTCCTAGAGTTCTTGAGGAAAGCCTTCAAAGAGTCTGAGTTTTGCACTTAAAGCTTCCATAGAAAAAATATATACGCACGGGACAGTAAAAGAGTATAAACCAAATGATCGACATTACTACAAGATGAGATGGTGATGAATAGCAACAGCAATTTCTAATAAGATCTCAATTCATATATTCACCAGAACAGAACACTTTTTTTGACATGCGAGAAAATGTCTTGTTTCTACGCATGATGTGATTTTTGAAGTGAAGTACGTTGAAACTCTAAAGCATTTTCAGCATAGGCTATAAATGACCCTTCTATTTATATGGGGTGCAGAAGTGAATATGGGGTGTCAAAGTTTGATTTTAGGTTGGAAAAACGCTTTTGAAATACTGCAGTTTTACTACTTCATCTCGTAAAGAAATGGTGATTTAGAGCTGCTTCATTAAAAAAATTTCGGCTTGGGCCTTAATCAAGACCTCGTTTATAAAGTTTTAGATCTCGGGAACGCATTCTGAGTCGAAATAGACTTCCCCCTTCCGCCACACGTCACAACAGAAAAATTGTTCACACCAAGTCAATGCTCAAAGGATCTTGTAACTATTTTTATTTATGGCCGGGAGAAGAGTTTTTGAAAGTACTTACTGATATTTCATTGAGGGGATTCGCAACAAATAAGTCAGTGAATACGCTGTCTGAATTCTGGGCTGTTCCGGTGCAACTAAAATTAAAGATGAAAAAATAATATATTACCTTATAAGTGCTTATTTTTATTTTGATTAATAACTCACGTCCGTTTGAGAACGCAAACTTCAATTTGCTGTAAATTCCAGGACCCACTTTTGTAGACGCTAAAACGCGCACACAGTATTTTGTCGCTGGTTTTAAATGATTTATTTCCAAATGTTGTTCCTCAGTAGTATAGTTTTTTGAGCACGTGACACCACCACATTGTTTAACACAAACAGTGTAACTGACTATCTTTCCGTTCCTTTTGGTTACATCAGGTGGCTTCCACGTGACAAACAATGATGTATTGCCGATTGCGTACATTGTGACATTCAAAGGAGGACCATCAGGTACTACAAAATCATAATAATAAATTTCACAGCAATTCGTATCGTGATATCCAAAGAAAACACTCCCAAACGTGATGTTGACCATGTAGAGGAAATATAAAATGAAATGATGTTCTGCTTTATAAATGGAGGCGAAGATGAAGTTTATAATGACACGTACATGGAGCTTGCGTGTTTGGCTATCTATCGTTTTTTTGGGATACGAGTAAGAAAATGAGGCAATGCAATACTTGTTGTATCGGTGTATGCAATATTAAAGGAGCGTGCCACACATACGTCAACTCAATTTATACTGTCGCATAAATTATAATGTTTTTTTCGAGCTCACAGGAATGGCTCCTGGTTAAAATCATATCAATAAAAGTCTCAAAAATTCAATCAAAAATCAATAAAAATTTCAAAAATTTTCAAAGTTGATTATGTACATAGTGTAAAAATATTTGCCATACGGTGAAAGGAAATTAGAAAGCAAAATTTGAAAATCTTTTATAATACTTACGATGACCAATTTTTCTGTATGGCATACTTGTGTCGTTACATTGATATTCAAAGTAAAGATATTTCTCCAAACCAGGACAAATATTCGAAGGAAAATGATTATCATCAACAGTTATCGTACATTCTGTTTCACCATCACAATAATTTTTAAGGTCGCATGTGACATTAAAACTACAACTGTAATCATAACTTGAGCCACAAGAGCTTCCGTTACTCAATCCACGATATTCAGCCACTTTTATTACCATATATTGATTACTAGAACAACTAGCGTTCGCTATCTTTTGTCCAGTACATGCCACTGACCCTATAGTAAAAAAAAACTATCGGCACGCGTTTATCTGTAAAATCCGTAAAAGCTAAAAAACATTATTCTCCATCTCCATTTTCCATGTCTAACTATACATCCCATAGCAACAGTCCTCAAACAAGTATGTTCTTTTCCATGATCAAATATAACTAGACCTAGAGCTTATATTTCCATGTATTAGTTACTCTTGTTGTTCAAACGCTGTTTCAAATATCCATTGAAATACAAGCTACGACAAGTGAAACAATGTTTCAAATACAATGTCCTCGGTTGAGCGTAGTAATGTATTGTCTAATTGTAATACACGATGACTCTCTAAATAGAGCTAACGTGAAAAACGAAAATCCACCGTTTCTATCACAGTTAAAAATATTCCCAGCATGTTATTATGGTACCAAGCTTGCACGTTTGGTCGTGCTATAAAAATTTCACAGTGAATGGTCAAAATACTAACGTAATAGTTCTTAAAAGAACTGTTTAAAACCAGAACACAAATCAAACAATTCAAGGAGGAGTGTTTTTAAAGCTGAAATCATCAGGTGTCAAGCTTTGCTAAATGAGAACATAAAGTAACACGATGTATATAATGGTAAGAAAAAGCTAACGTCATCTCTAAATTAGTAGATGAAATACAAAACAAAGATAAATTACATTAAATTAATAAAATGGATAAATATAGAATAATTAAACTAATTAAATTAAATTAGATGAATTAAATAGTTACGTTAAACTAAATAAATTTAATATACAGATCAAATGATGCTGCGTTTACACAATACCGGATTCGCTTATCACGATATCTTCATTTGCTTTAAAGGGTTAACTGTTTGGAGTAAAAGCTTATTAAGCTGATAGATTTAGTCTATTTGATTGTGTTTCTGACGTTGAACAATTTCACTGCCTTTTAATACAAAGAATATTCAACCTGCAACGATACAATCCGGTATAATGTAAACGAGGCCTGAATAAATGAAACTCCTCCTCTCTTAGAAATTCCTAACATGTCAGCTAAAACACATAATTCTTAGAGATCACTTTCACTTTTGTGTTCTGGTTTTAGCAGTTCATTTAAGAACTATATGTCATTAATTTGACCATTCAGTAGCTATTTTTACGACAATTTTTAAATTATGAATTACATCAGACTTCACTTTCTGTATTAATAACACATAAAGCAGAAACACAATATCATAACTATGATATGCTTCTACATATCAAGTTAAATAAAAAAACTTACCAAAATGAAATCGTTTTTCTGTTCCTTCATTACAATCTGTTGTTTTCAAATACGGATCAACTCCATACTTGTTTTTAAATTCATTAGATGTAGCAGGTACTAAACATAGCAATTGGTTTGTTCTCCAAAACTTAAGTGCTAATCCTCCCCAAGAGGTTTGGGTTACAGCGTTGTTGTCAGAACAAAGATCGCCAATAATGTTTTGCTTATCAGAGTGAATAACTAACAAATGAAGAGTACCCTCAATATTTACCCATCTGTCCACGGCTTGAAGGCAACCTGGTATATATTTATTTTCAATATTGCGCCAGTGTCTCGAAAGTTCAACTGAGATGCTTGATCAAAACAATTGTCTGAAATTTCCACAAAACGCTGGCTTCTTTCTCTAGAAAGTCGACTTCCATGTTGATATGTTAACAAAATTTTTCCAACGTCATAAATACACTTTCCAGTATCAACATGTTTTATGAAAAATCCAGTCGCACCTAGAAAAATCCTCGTAAATATCAATATGATAAAAAATAATGCTCGTTAGGAAATCAAACGAACGAAATAGTCAGTCAAATATTGTGATTAAGTAATAGATGGGTAGGAGTATTCAATTAGATCAAGTGATACAGGGTACAAAGTATAGCCTGCAACTTTCTTTTGAAAATGAGGTTTCGTTTTCATTTCATTATCATCCGTTAAAACTACGAAAAATCTAAAAGGTTCAGATGAGCAGTGGTTGAGGAAGTTCAGTAGCATAACTAACATTACAAAATCAACCACCAAAATAAGGTAGATCGGTGATCATAGTTCAAAAGTATAATCCATTTATATGCTTATGAAATTATATATATATATGATAAATTGACAACCTAACCGTCTTTCGCATTTCGTCAAGAGCTTTTACTGCCTTCCTCACATCGTCCAGAGATATATAATTAGTATAAGTCATGAACTGGACTAAATACCAGCACGGTGTATCAAGTTTCTTGCATTATTTGCCAAGCGAATAATGATTTATGTTCGCAATGGCTACCAAGCTCCAAATGCAAAGCTAATTCAAAATGCCCTCATCAATATATTCATTAGGGATGTTTAGACTAAATATCCCTCATCAATAATAAAAAAATACGCATGTTTTCACATTTATTTTTGTCATGTAGAAAATTTCAGAAATTGATGTCTTCGGCAAGTCCTTTAAAAACACAATACTTCGAGGGCAAGTTTACCAAGTCAAAATTCCTCTTGCTCGACTGTTGTTACATTGTTAATTTTTCGGATTCAGACACGAGAAAATCTTTTGTCCTATTGCTCAAAATCGCCAAACTTGCGTTATTACAAGCCTTAGTGCCTCAAATTTATGTCTTTGAGCGGTAACAGAAATCATCTTTCCATCGCGTCAGAAACTTTCTTGTCACTTACTTGGGAAAGTCAGTGATAAACCATCAATAACTTCAACAATGAAATACAATATATATTTGCAAAGCAAATTCATTCACAGGTTCCCCGAACCAATTAAAAAACGGAATTCAAAATCAAATAGCTTGATGGGGATTTCTTTATTCATGAACAGTGTGCGCTTTAAACACCATCAATTAAATTGGTTGCAATATTCAAATAAGTTAGCTCAAAATTTGATGAAACTATTGTCAAACTGAACAGTCTAATGCATTGACTATTCCCTCAGCAACCATGTGGATACAAAGTAACCACTGTTTTAAAGGAATATTAGTTATTAAATGTTCCCTTACGCCATGAGAGATTTAGTAGCTAAAAGTCCCTCAGACAGCGCCAACGGACTTTTATTAAACTTCCCTCTGTTTGAGGGACTTTTAATCACTCATATCCATGAAAGCATACGTTTACTTATAATAAAAATTCGGCAAAACCGACAGTTCGGATTATAAGCGCAAACAACATGATTTTTGCATTTATCAAGAAATACATTGTTTATTATGATTCATCCAGTCCAAACATATAGATGCATGAGTCGTGCGGAGACCGCAAGTCTACTTTTTTGAGGTAAACATAATACACTTGTAAAATTTCAGCAATCAACCACACCTTACTACCGAATTATCCGAAAATATCATGTACTTCGTTGTGGTGCACCCTGAACAGAGTATTCAACTCTCTCATATTGGGTGTAATTCGATATCGAGTTTGACGTACGGACGCAGCATGCATGTATGAAAATGCGAAGTGCAAAGTTTGAAGAGAACGGAGTGCTTACTGTTCGTTTACAATTTAGAAATGGTTTTAACACCAGACTCCTCTTTTTTCACAATGCCGGGTGAAGGAAAGGAGGGGGGTGGTGGAAAATGAGCAATCTATTTAAGAACGTTTGTTAACACTTCAAAATCATTTGAAATTGACCACCATGCTGATAATTGCGCAAAACAATCCAATAATAGTTTCTAACATACAACTCAGTTAACTTTTATGGGAATCAGTGGCGTAGCTAGCGGTCTGGCTGGTCGGGCCTAGCCCGACCAAATATTTTCTCATAAATGAAAAATTTGTTTTCTTTAAAATTGGAGTTGCGGAAATTTTAAATTCTGCGACTCTTTTTGGAATAATCCACAGTCTATTAGTGTAATATTTGTCAAATTGCGTCGTTATTAGCAAAATTATCATATTTTTAAGCGTTACTTAGCAACAATGACAAGTTCATTTCTAGTGCCAGGCATTACGCAGTTTAGTCGGGCTCTGAAAATTCAGCCCCCACGAAGTAGTAAAATCTATAGTGGAATTATCTGCAATCTGATTGGTTGACAACAACCGAGCAAACTCAAATGCGCTGTTTCGCAACATCTAGTCGGGCTCTGAAAATTCAGCCCGACCAAGTAGTAAAATCTGTAGTGGGAATATCTCTAATCTGATTGGTTGAGAGTAGCTGTGAACACACTCAAACCACAGAATAGATATATACAGAAGCGCCACTCAGCGAAAAATCTGTCCCCTACTTGTACCCAGTCTTAAGTGCGCATCTTTTGCGTCCGCCATTACTCCAGCCAGATAAACTGGCCAGAATGTATATAGATTAATATTATGAAGAGTTGTTTTTCGAAAATTTGACGAATTTAAATTCACTTATGGACAAAATTTTTAATGCCATCGGATAGGATACCAAGCATATGAGGTGAGAAACAGTTTTGTTGTAAAATACGTTCTTCAAATATAATTTTACGGGTTTTATAGTTTCTTGCCTTGAATTGTATGCGAGATCCATGTTTAGAACGTCTCTTATATTGAACGGCAGTTGCCCTAAGAATTTATAATTTAGGACAAAAGTAATAAATATATTTAGTGTGATTCCATTTCTGTATTTTCTAGTAAAGAGTTTCCTATTAGAATTGTCAACGGATTTGATAGAAGCGATAAAACGACCTACTGTGCGTAAAGAACGTTCTTCAGATGAAGACGTTATTGGTATAAAATTTGGACTAAACTAATTTATATTTGATTCTTGAATCGGGGCTTTTTATTTGCAATGTAGCTTGTCTGCATAATTGTAATTGATTGTTTTTATTTGTAATTGTATATTGAGTTCCTGTGGCTATCATGTCTGTCAAATTTGTATTAACTTACAAATAAAGATGTTTTTTGTTGTCTTATTTTTAATAAACAATATATGAAATTACAATTTTTTAAAGAATGAAGTTATTGATAAATTGTTACAATTAAATTAACAACTTTACCATTATGTCAAACATATTGTCAAGCTCCTACAGCTTACCTCTTTGGTTAAACTTCACTTGTGAGTTGTGACCAACAATTGCATGTGAAAAATGATTAGAATTATGTTTGATTCACCGCATTGATCAACCAGCAGAGAGAAAGTATTGCAACAAAGGGCTCGAAAATTTAATTTTTGCTAAAATCCATAAACTTCATTCAGTAAATTAAAATTTTTATTGTAAGTAATCATGTCACAAACAGAACTTATTCTGACAAAAACCAGTTATAGTTACTCTTAATGCAATCGTAATACTTTACACAGTAAAATGTTTACCAAAAGGTGAAACACAGATACACCAGAAAACTTTTTTTAAAACATTTGACAGGGGGAAACTGTGCCAAGCCAACACGAATCCAATTCACAAAAGCATTCAGGAAGCTTTTTTATGTTCACTTCTCACATCATCAATAAGCATCCATGTCAAATATATAAATAATCTCCTGATTGAGTTTAAAAAGGCAGAAATAACAAAGTTAAGTCATGTGGACCATATGGCAGTATATGTTTTACAAATTGCTATTCAAGCACTTTATTGGTGGAGGCCAACATGCTGCTGCTTATGTTCCAACTTGCTCAAATAGTCATTCAAGCTTCACAAGTCACAACTGTGATGAATACAAAATATTTTGGCATCAGATGACTTTCATAGTGGCCATGCAGCATCGCTTCTGATAGTTTAAAACACCTGGGTAGACAATTTTGGTGATTCGAATGTCCTGCCAAACGTTGTTTGAAATATATAAACTAACTGGAGGATAATTTGATTTGTCACTTGTTTCAGCCACGACCGAGATTTCAAATGTTAGAACAAATGTCTTCAAGATTCTCTGCAGAATTCTTATATGATAAAATTAAAACTGACGACAAACCATATACCGAGTACGCATCTCGTCAGATACATATCTACTTTGTAAATATTCCGAATAAACCCTCATTTATCAAAACGGACGTCGAATTAATGATAAATTGTTGAGAGCTTGATGTGTTAACTGTATCCACACAAAAAAATATTAAAAAAATGACCAATCTATAGAAATATTTGGGTTTATTTGCCAAAACCCATCCGTAGAACTATATATTATATTGCGATCTGGCTGCATTTATCTGGCTGGAAACATGGCTGCCGTGTAAAGTTCCCCGGATGCTGCGGACACGAACATCAAAGGTTCCGACATCGAGTGGCGCTTCTGTATATATCTATTCTGTGCTCAAACGTTTAACAACATCTAGTCGGTCTCATTTTCAAAAAGCGTGACTTGGATTTTGAGCTTTCGAAGTATACGTTCGGAAATCGTGATAACTTACATTACAATGGCTTCGGCTAATGAAATCGATATAATAGGTGAACTACAAAAGAAACCATTTCTGTTTGACAATCAGGCGAGCAAAATATACTCGTAAAGCAGCGGCCAATTCCAAATTTACAAGCGACTACAGGCAATAGAAGCTTTCAGGAAAGTTGGTACTCGAAGAAAGATTGGCTTTGTGGTAGCTCAGAAAAGAATGCATTGTTCTGTTGGCCTTGTCTTTTGTTTTTCCCTGGATCGTCATCTTCATGGACGCAGACGAGATTCAAAAACATGAAGAATTTCCTATCCGATTGTAAGAAGCATGAGAAGGCAAAATCGCACATGGGTGCTTACAAGACCTGGAAGACCTAAGGTTTTCAGCCTCGTGTCGACTGTCTCATGTCACAAGCTAGACGTGAAGAGATTCAGCGTCATAACGAGGAGGTAAGGCAAACAGGGAAATGTTGAAAACCATAACAGAAGCTGTTTTATACTTGTCTAGGCAAGAGCTTGCATTTAGGGGGCATGATGAATCTAGTAGCAGCATGAATAGAGGATATTATAGAGAGCTACTTGAAAGTTTTGCCAAGATGGATTCTGTTTTTGAAAGGCAATTACATGGTAGGCTTGCTGAAACCCACCTTGCTGGGGGAGGGCGGTTTACTGGAGTCTCTCCTGATATTCAGAATGATTTAATTGATTGTCTTCATAAGATAATAGAGGATGAGATCTTAAAGGAAATAGATTGCTGCACTTTCTTAAGTATACAGGTTGATGAGGCAACTGATGTTTCTACCAAAGAACAATTGAGTGTAATTGTTCGAATGGACAAAGGGGAAAGTGTCATTGAAAGACAGCTTGGGTTTGTTGATGTTAGTTGTGATAGGACTGCAACTGCCATATCATCAGTGGTTAAGGGTAAGTTAAGTCAATATAATAATGGGAAAGAGAAATTTATTGGACAGACTTATGATGGTGCATCTGTTATGTCTGGTCATCTCAATGGTGTTCAAGCTCAAGTTCAGCAGGATTATCCTTATGCTCAATTTGTTCACTGTGCTGCCCATAGACTAAATCTAGTATTATGTCAAGCTGCATCCTCCATTTCACCTGTTAAGATTTTCTTTGTTAATATTAGTGCTTTCTGCACCTTTACTAGCAATTCCTCCAAAGAAAAGCTTTACTATCATCCCATAGGCTTGAGTTTCCTAGTCCTGGTGACACAAGATGGTATTATAGGGCTCATGTCATCAATGTCTTGCATTCTAACTATGAGAAACTGATAGACATATTTGAAAATCTTACTGATTATCCAATAGGTTGGGATGATGAAACGTTAAGTAAGACTACTGGTTTACTTGGCTACCTTAATGGCTTCTTGTTTTGTTTCTTGGTACATGTTTTCCAGAGAATTCTTGAGAAGTCATCCATACTTTATTCTATCTTGCAAGACAAGGACACTGACTTTCATTATGGAATGAGTAGGTTTGAGAGATTCAAGGCCTTTGTTGCTTCTCTGAGAAATGATACAGAATATTGTCAGGTGTACGACCTGGCTGTTGAGAATGTGGGACCACCAGTAACCAGGTATGACCAATGGCATCATTACAAACAAATGTATTTTGAAATTCTTGAAACAATTGTGACTATGCTGACTGAGCGATTTCAGGATATGGAGCATTTTAGATTTTTAGACCTTGTTAACCCTAGGGTGTTTAAGATGTGGAAAGGTGAAGTGCCCTCAGAAAAGATAAATCTTCTAAAGGAAGTTTATGGTGATATGTTTGAAATACCAATGCTAGTAAGCCAACTTTGTTTTATTTACAGAGATAACGACTTTCACCATGATTCATGCGATGAACTATTGAAATATATTTTTCAGTTCCATCTTCAATCTAGTATTCCAGAAGTTGTAACACTGTTAAAGATAAATGGGGTTTTGTCAATTACAAGTGCTTCAGTTGAGAGGTCATTTTCTTGTTTGAAGAGGGTAAAAAATTATCATAGAAATACTATGAGCCAAGGACGTTTTAGTTCTCTTTGCAGGATTTCCATTCACAAAGACATACTGTTAGAGAAAGAAGACGCCAACACATTGCATGATGAGGTAGTAAAGAAGTTCATTGAAAAAACCACGAAGACTTGCTTTCTTATACAAATAGGTATTCATATATGGCTGATAGCAAGCTGATGATGTCTTTCGTCCATGGCATGTAAGAATTTTTCCGGGAACTTTTTAATGCAGGCAATGATGATTGTCATTTCAGCACGACAATGAACGGCATCACAACTTTTAATAGTTGTTGATGACAAATCTGAGCCTTTTTCTGTTCTTTTGTCAAAGTTTCTTTACAAGATGTACATAGGTATCTATTTATGTATGTGGTGTTGAGAAAATAAATCACATATCTGCAACTATTTTTGAACTGTTTCTCTGCTTTACTATAAGATCCTTCGGCAATTTAAATTAACCAAAATGGTTCTATTTCCTGCATAAATATCACGCATTTGCTTTCTAAGATAGCCGTTTCCGACGTTCAAGGGAGTCTAAATTCGGAAAATTTTCTCGCTCGGCGCCAACCATGGTGGCGCCTCCTGAGCCCGACCAAATAATTTTCGCTAGCTACGCCACTGAATATAACATATCAAAATACAATATGGTGAGCAAAACTTATCGATGTAAATGTCTGTTTAAAACTTGTCGTTTACGTTAAATGTCTTATTTAAATACATGTATAATCAGAAGAGACGAACAAGACGTTCTACTAACCTTGTATCAAACAAGCAAAGATACTTCCCACTAGTACTGCTACAGATCGAATCTCATGGTCATTAAGGTCATATTGTATTCCAGCTTTCACAATGTTTCAATAACAATGTTATGAGAAAGCGTGTAATACCTTCCTCCTTTCATTCGAAAGCTACCACAAATGCGGATGTGAGCAATTTTAACGAAGTGTGTAGCTACGCTAAAGACCAATATCCTTGTCTACGCAATTTTAAATGTATCTTGCCCACGCAATGTCACACGCACGTTTCAGCTGTTACATTAATCTGCTTTATTCAAGTACACAGAAACCGCTCTCCTACTCTTTTTTGATATCGTTATTTACTCAAATGCGGATGTGAGCAATATTTACGAAGTGTATAGCTACCATAGCCCTCTATTTGTAAGAGTTGGAACATCTATTGTTATACGTTTAGCTTACGTTGATTGGGCAATATTGATCACCTGATCAATTTCCGCCATTTTGGTTCCTAGTTTTGAATTTTGAGCTAGTATTTATATAGCAATTACTGCTAGTAATACAGTATTTTGAGATAATATTGCGTTTTTTTTGGATAAGTGTGTAATAACTGATTGTTGAAGGCTACTAAATGACATTACATATCGCCAAAATCGATGATTACGAATAAAATGAAAGAAATGCCTTTACGTCGAACTTACGAAATTTGATTGCGTATGGTGATTGTTGTGCTCAACTGCTTTTGATATAAGGTTCAATCAACTGACTCAAGTAGTGAACCATTTTTGGGCAAAATAACATTGCAAAGTTCATGCTAATGCAGTTTCAATAGTTTTCTTACTCCAAAGCTTGTTTTTTAATCGAAGATGATTTCTCATTATGTTTTGAAATTGGGTGAGCAAAACTTATCGATGTAAATGTCTGTTTAAAAGTTGTCGTTTACGTTAAATGTCTTATTTAAATACATGTATAATCAGAAGAGACGAACAAGACGTTCTACTAACCTTGTATCAAACAAGCAAAGATACTTCCCACTAGTACTGCTAACAGATCGAATCTCATGGTCATTAAGGTCATATTGTATTCCAGCTTTCACAATGTTTCAATAACAATGTTATGAGAAAGCGTGTAATACCTTCCTCCTTTCATTCGAAAGCTACCACAAATGCGGATGTGAGCAATATTAACGAAGTGTATAGCTACGCTAAAGACCAATATCCTTGTCTATGCAATTTTAAATATATCTTGCCCACGCAATGTCACACGCACGTTTCAGCTGTTACATTAATCTGCTTTATTCAACTTCACAGAAACCGCTCCTACTCTTTTTGATATCGTTATTTACTCAAATGCGGATGTGAGCAATATTTACGAAGTGTATAGCTACCAGAGCCCTCTATTTGTAAGAGTTGGAACATCTATTGTTATCCGTTTAGCTTACGTTGGTTGGGCAATATTGATCACCTGATCAATTTCCGCCATTTTGGTTCCTAGTTTTGAATTTTGAGCTATTATTTATATAGCAATTACTGCTAGTAACAGGGGCGGATTGAAACTACGTCACATTTAGCACGCGACGTAGTTAAATTCTGCACAGCAGCGAAAAAAAATTAATAAAATTTTAAATCCCCTTAGTAAAAATAAATAACAATTTCCAAGCGTGGAATGAAGTTTGTTTGGTCGAAAGGACCCAGAGATTTTTTCTATGCGTCGTTTGCAGGTTCGAATCTCGTCTCGGTAGGGTGTAGTTTGTTTCGATGTGTGGATAATGATCATGAATTCTTTATCCTAAAATTAATTAAATTTTTTGTGTCCTCACAACGAAAGCATTAGAAAAATAAACTATTGTCAGGGTTAGGGATAGTATTATGAGAAATTTGTGCAACAACGTGCATTCACTGAGCAATGTTATTGTTTCCAAGACCTGGATTAAGCATCGGATTAAGGGATCAAGTGGCTAAAAATACTTATATTTCACTTGCGGGAGAAATACCCATAGCTAACCCGCACAGAGTCAGCACGCCTAAATTTGTGCTGAATTTGGAGACTAAAATCTGTCTCTTGATTGGTTTATTGCCGTTGTGCTGACTAACGAGCCGCCGTTTTTGCTGAAATGTTAAAGCGGTGTTGTGCGAAATTCAGCACAGATTGACATTGTTGATAGCCGAGGTTTTATCTTGAGTTTCAAAACCAACAATATTAATGAGAAGCATGGCATCTTTCACTGACCGAGTCGAAGATGCTTTTACGAGGAAATATGGGACTTTTATGGGTCAACTCTACGGAGAGATGTTGGATTGCCTGAAAGTCAAAAGCATTGTTACCAGCGATAGTTTGTTGGATAGTCTCGGTGTTGATATTTTCCGAAATATCAATGCCGAATTTTACATACTGCAGAGTGCCAAGACAAAGAACACAAATTTGGTTGCCTTAAGGTTGGAAAACTTATGACATGTTATGCATGCATGCTTACACAAGAATATATAAGCAAATATAAATTGACTTGATGTAATGCCCGATGGATTTGTCATTTGTGGTTTATTTATGTGATTCAAAACAAAACAAATTTTCGAATTTCGATCATATTTAAAACGTTTCTATTGATTTATTTCTTGATATTTTCAATAGTGTACTTAAGATAAGATATACAAAAATAAACTGAAGCATAATATTTGAAATTTACATAACATTATTTCAGATCTGCTACAAATGGCAACTGCCTCTATAGTTTATTGTCAATTCTGCTTGTTGGTGACAACTTTGTGGTGACTATTTTGAGGCTGATGACCTCTATAGAACTATTTTTATTTGCTGATTATTATGCAAAACATCCATGTTTTTCAAATCTTTTTGAAACTCAGCATAACAAACACTTTGACTCTATCTCAAGCATGGTGGCCATGTCAGTCTCTTCTAAAGCTATTGATAGTGCTGGAAGTGGTTGTTTTGTTGCTAAACTGGTCAGGGCAGAAGCTGTGTTAAATGCAAAAGATATGTCATGGACTGTGTTTGTTTGTTTGTTGGCACTCTCCTCAGTTATATCCTGTAGCATTTTTTCTTATTATCCTGACATATACTCTAGTGCTTATAAAGGGAATTTATTATTTAACCAAAGAATTGAACCTTGAATTCTATCTAGGGCTTGTGCTTCCACTAGTAATTATTTGCGAGTTTTGTTTTGCTTTGAAGGTTTAGCTCCTCAAGCAACTGCATTCAAACACAATCATTATGTGCCTTTGATACTTGGTGGGAAGGGAACTAAAAGAAAGGGAAGTAGTCACTTGTCACAAGCTAAAAAGCCCAGTATACAAACAAAGTTGAGGTTTACACCTTCTGGTCCTACGGAGACAACCATGACAACTAAGGCTCATCCATATGGTATATATCACAGGTAAATTTCCCAGGTTTTGAGAACATAAAAGTATTGTTAAAGATCTTTAGTACTATTCCAGTCACTTGTGAGTGTGAGAGATCGTTCTCTGCTTTGCGAAGATTAAAGATCGATACAAGAAGTACTATGGCTGCTGACAGGTTAAGTGGTCTTGCTTTATTGTATATTCATCAGGACATTAATCCAGATATAGAAAATATTATAGATCTTTTTGCAAAAGACAAAAGAAGAATTGAACTAGCTTTCTAGTAAGGAGTGAAAGTTTTTGATGCCTTTTTTAAACTCTTGACTGTAAAGATGACTGCTGCTAACCTCAGTCAATATAAACACAAACAATCGTTCTCAGGACTTTACTTACCTGGACGATTGACATCTACAAACATTTTATGTTGGCAACTTCATTTGATAAATTGACATAAAATCGTTTGCATAATAATCAACATATAGGTATGACTAGACCATTATAAAATGAAATTCCATATAAAAGTTGATGAAGCGTAAGGAATTTTTTTAGGCTAAGTTTGAAATGAACCAGGCCGTCCTTGTCAGAAGCCCTCAAAGCATATTTTTCTGTGAGTTTCCTAGGCATGCTGACAAGCTCTGATATTGAGCGAAACGGTCAAAAATCAATGATTTATGAGCAAGAATTTTAGTTTTCCAGTTGTAAATATTTTAGAAAATCAACTGTAAAAACGCAGGAAATAGCGTTTTCTGCAATCCAATTTTAAAATTTTACCGGGGGGGGCATGCTCCTGGACCCCCCTAGAAAAGTTGCGCTAACGGTGCGACATTGTGCCTAAGTTCATATACGCAGCTGGATCCGCCCCTGGCTAGTAATACAGTATTTTGAGATAATATTGCGTTTTTTTATGGATAAGTGTGTAATAACTGATTGCTGAAGGCTACTAAATGTTATTACATATCGCCAGAATCGATGATTACGAAAAAAATAAAAGAAATGCCTTTACGTCGAACTTACGAAATTTGATTGCGTGTGGTGATTGTTGTGCTCAACTGCTTTTGATATAAGGTTCAATCAACTGACTCAAGTAGAGAACCATTTTTGGGCAAAATAACATTGCAAAGTTCGTGTCAATGCAGTTTCAATAGTTTTCTTACTCCAAAGCTTGTTTTTTAATCGAAGATGATTTCTCATTATGTTCTGAAATTGGTCAATCTACAAACCTCTCAATTCTCAGCCACTTCCACACTAAAACAATGATTTTCCAGGTTGTATTTTGTATTTTTTGTTCATCATTTAAAAATGAAGTAATTATAATTAGGATATTCACTGAAACAGCTGAGTACAATATATTTTTGGTAATGAATTACACAAATGTACCCTACTTCTATAGCTCGAAGTAGAACATTACTTCTCTTCTAGACTTGCCACCAAGATTAAAGATCTTGAAAACTTGTTACAGAGTCGGAACATAAGCCGAGAAAACACGTTCACGTGCGAAAAATACTTCTTACAATTGGTCACGATCAATTTGCAGCACGATCTAGTAAACCGCAAACGAAGCTCAAACCAATGAAATTAAATCAGGTCTGCCGCAAACCGTTAAAAAAACCCAAAGAGCTAGTTATTATTCCTAAAATATTTGATACTACCATGGAATAAGCTTAAATTGCTTTCTTCTTTTGCATATAAACCCAATTTCCAATAGTATTATGAAAGTTTCACTTTGCAAATAGGAACCAAAATGGCGGCTCCGCGCTCGCCCAGACCGTTTGTCCTAACTCTTACGAATAGAGGGCTCTGATAGCTCCGCTATGGACCAATACCTTGTCTATGCAATATTAAATACATCTTGCCACCGCAATGTCACACGCACGTTTCAGCTTAATCTGCTTTATTCAAGTTCTCAGAAACCATGTTCCTAATCTTTTTGATATCGTACTTTATAAATTTTGTTAATTTTAGGCAGAAGAAACTTTACAACATACAATCCAAACAGAATATATGAAAGATACACTGCAAATCTATACACAACTCGAACTTTAATCTCGGCCTTGAATTGATCTGTTCTCGACTTCTCCCAAAGGTCTCCTCGGTTTACACAAGCCTGTCAGCCCGAGCAAATACATGCATAGTTTAGTAAGCATCTTTTAATGCAACCTTTTTCGCATATCAAGCATGTTTGATATTTTTGGCCACGCAAGGCAAAAAACTCACCGTTTGCGCTGAATGTGAGCTTAGATGCTCACATATAACTAATTAAAGAAACAGTAGCTACGCGTTCTTTTAACTGATGACCAAACATCAAAATATAGGCAACAACTACAAATGAATTGATGAGCGCGTAAATGTTAGACAAATTTAAGTCATTGACAAACTAGTTGACTTAAGACCAATTTCCATTACGGTCGCTTTGCCTGCGCGCACGGAACGGGCACTTCTTATGATTCGTTCGCGCGTTCAAAAACAAATCTCCATTAAACTTTTTTGCACGCGCTTGCACGCGCTGATTTAAAAACCAGTCAAAGATAGCAGCTTTAAGAAGACTGCTGATACTGAAATTATTAAGACGGCGATTAGAAAGAAGGAAATACAGAAAACGATTTTGGGTGAGGCAAATCTATCTAGATGGAAAAAGTAAAGGCGAATATCACACAATATCGTCCAGTTGATCATCGTCATACTTTTCTTCGAAATCATGCTGTTGTGGCACGATAAATTTGGTGTTGCTAGCGTCATTAGAGTTGGATGAGTTATTTGTATTTGTTCTACTGAAGGTGGTTGCCACAAATGCCCTGATTTGGTTCAAAAGATTGCGTACTAGCATATGACTTGTCTGCCATGATTTTGTTTTCCACAGTATAGTGACTCGTTGCGATTGGTATATTTTAATCACGTGCACCTTGGTTCACGTAACATCGCTAAGAATGTCGAAAACTTTCAACTTTCAAAACGTGTGCACCAGTGTCCGCAGCGTCCGAGAGAAGCCATGACGTAGTTTATAGCGCATGCTCAAAAATTTACGACATAAGAATAAGAACAAGACAAATGAAAACATGAATGACATAAGAAAAAGAACAAAACAATTAATAACATGAAACGGCATAAAATAAGAACATAACAAGTGATGACATAAGCCTTTTGTAATAGAAGTCTGTGTAAACTGTGTTTTATTTTGTAAAACTTTTCAAAAATATTTTTCAAATCTGCAAAGACTTTCGCGCGATCTTTGAGCAAGGCAAAACTCACATTTGTAATTCTGTTGTTAATAAATTGTTAGCAGTGAGAACAGAATTTCCAAATAAATGAACGACGAGTTTTTTTTTATCGTAAACATATTTCGGGATGCTTATGCCAATTACGGAATTAGTGTTAGATATTATATTACAGGTTAAATATTGTATTAATGTGGTATATTTGTTTGTTGAGGTCTGGTTTGAGCTTTTTAATGTAGAGCGCTTCTTTCAGTTTAAGAGAAAAAGGAGAGTTGGCGGTGTCTAAGATGCGAAAACATGAATGGCTGTATTTTGATTTGCAGTGTGGTGAAGTGTGAAGGTGTTTATAAATGTGCGAGTTTTTGTCGGAATGTGTGTGTTCTTTAATGCGTGTAGAGAGATGGCGATCTACAAATAATAATGTTATCATGCCTAACTAATTCAATCGTGAAAGCAAAAAAACTTATCGACATATTACTGACGATCCTACCTTGTTGCACGACACTGGCGATGACAAAACTATGTAATATAAACCTGAACTCAATAAATTTCATGATCATTTATGTGTAACGATTTGTATTCGATGAAATAGGACGTATCTGAATCATCACACTGAGTCTTACATTAATAGGGGTAGAAGTAAAAATAAACGTTTTTAAAGCCATTACCGGGACAGTTAGGACAATAGTCTTTGACATCCATCTGTTCTAAAATGGATGTCCTGAGAGGCAAATTTGACCAAAGCATTAGGACGTCTATAGCCAAATTGCACCCCGCACATATAGAGTCAACATATTGCTAATCAAGGTTACAGTGATTTTTTATTAGATGATTTTATTTGGAGAGGAAATAAATAGCCGTTTTGATTGTAGAACAGAAAAACAGCATGCAGTCACCACTTTTCCCATCATTACCGAGTACATTAACATACATGAAGGTGTGATTGCATTACTTCCATCCTAAGCAGAGAGGGATTAACGCAAAAGTCGATAAAATACAACTCAATTTAGACAAACATTGCTGAAAAATGAGCACATTCTCAAAGCAAATAATAAGTCATTTCTCTTACACTTAAATGATTTGCGGTACCTAATATAGGTAGAAAATTTCCATAAGGTTGTTTTCGTATCTTTACAGATATTAAAGTAGGTGTAATTTTCCGTATTGATTACAATCGTGAAGTCAATGAAAAGAATTTGGCTAGATGCAATTTCTGAAAGAAATTCTTCACTGTGACACACGTTCTATAATACGTCCTGTGTCGTGCTACGTGCTTCGTTTTGTTGCCCAGCAACATCACACGACTAAAATATATACGACGCTTGTAGGTGCTCTCAGAAATCAGCCTGACAAAGTGCAGAAATCGGTCATTAGAGGGAAAGTAATGTCAATTAGACTGTACTAAGTGACAGCTAGAGCCTAGAGGATGGTCATTTGTGTTCCTTACGGGCGTAGGTGTTTAGAGTTAGGAGTTATGCAGTCAATATGAATTGTTCTCGATATGAAGTGTTACTTAAAGGGCGTGGGCTCTTCCGTGTTGAATATAATCATTCGGAAGATGAAAGAACTAGGCAAGTTTGATTTTTATAAAGAAATCCTTTGTTGTTGATACACACTACGTAACGCATCTTATACTATACGTGCTTCACCTTGTTGCCCGACAACATTTTGCGACTAAAACTCATTCAACGTTTGCGGTTTATATTCATGTTACATGTACTCAGTTTTGCCCGACCAAGTTCTTTTGGAAGTAAATTGGCCTATTGCAGGTGTGTCCAGATATTCAAATTAATATGATTAGTTGTTTTTGAGATCATAGAAAATTATGAACTACAAAGCAATAGGCAAAGCTAGCAACAGTGCATTCCCTTGCTTCAAAAAGGAATTACTCGTAGCCCCTTTGAATTGTGTATACAACAGACATCTGTTTTATGAAAGAAAGACGTGACGACCTGACGTTTTTCAAGAAGTGACGTTACGATATCGAACCGGATGGGTTAATTTTTGTCATTTTGCGATGTACGTTGGCTGGCCGTTCTTCGTCCAAACTCGTCTGCATAGCGCTAGGTAGAAGAATGAATATTTATATGTATATTCCTTTGTGCGCTACATTCTTTTGAAAGCCAGTTCACTTTCAACAGAACTTAGTCGGGCACAACTGAATATATCAATATTGACACTCCCATCACACAACGTTCTAGCTACGGACATCGCTGTTTTAACCGAATCTTGCCTAAGTCTCGTGACAAAAATATTGGCATTCCACCTGCTTACAACTATAACTATGACATTCGATATCCACGCTTGGTATAAC